GTAAAACAAGAGCAAAGAAGATTTGCATATTCCCTGTATCATGATGACAAGTAATATAAAAGAAAATGCATTGACAAAGGGTTATAAGTGGGAAAGGTGCCAATATATAGGATATAAACCTTATGCGGCAGTAGAAAAAAAGACAAAGAAATTACTTGAGATAAAATGGTTTGGAAGGCTTCTAGGAGAAGGTGAGACTAGAAGGACAACAGGAAACTAGATTTGTGAATAATCAGGAAAAGAATCATGGGGCCAGTGAATGCAAAGGCCTTGGGTTGCAATGGACTGTGTCTACCATAAAACTCTAGAATTCTTCCCTGTGAACTAGCTGGAGCCTTTCCTTTCCTATTCTACCAAATGTGTTTCAGACCCACTTTTTGTTGTGATTAGAGTTCTGCATGTTCATGCCCATCTGATCTACCAGCCTGAAAACACAAAGGGCAGTCTTCCTTTTTGCACACAGCTGACAGAAGCTGTACCTTTCTCACTGTAACTTAGCCATTTAATCAAGAGGGCCTTTGACATTTACATTGTGATTGTTTTGCCTATATTTTTGCCTCAGGTCCTGAGAGAATAGTCTCTGACACTAAGTCATGCTCAAAAATTATTTGCTGAAATAATTGTGGATGCATTACAAGGAGACTGCTATGGCATTGTGGCTTGGTATTCAATTACACAGAAACTAGTTTTGCCTTTGCTAGTCAATATGAGATGACTTTGGCCAAGTTATCCCACTTGATCCTCGACATCCTCAAATGGTTTTCAATGTCTGCTCTTTTCTATGAATCCTTGGGTTATCATTATTTGCCTCTTCTTCCATATTCTTACAAATGTCTTATATTTAGCCATTTTGACATTCCTTGAAATACCTTTTGTTTTTGTTCTTTTTTTTTTGGTCAAATTACTTATTTATAGAAGCTACAGTCAACTAAGACCTACCTTCATTTCAAAACTTATGCACCTGGGGCTGGGAAGGTGGCTCAGTGGTAGAGTGCTTGCCTTGCATGCATGAGGCCCTGGGTTCGATTCCTCAGCATCACATAAGCAGAAAACGCTGCAATGGTTGCTGTGTCTCAAGTGGTAGAGCACTAGCCTTCAGTTGAAGAGTTGAGGGACAGTGTCCAGGCCCAGAGTTCAGGCCCTACGACCCCCCCCCCCCAAAAAAAAAATTTTAGACTTTACTAAGGGAGTTTGAAGAAACAGCAAGCTGTTCAAAGCACATCTACTAACACTTTCTCTTTTAAGTTTGGGCTTGTAGGAAGCCCAAGAGGATTCAAGTCTGCCAGAAACTCCTTTGCTAAGGTACTTTCAATCTTTCTTAGTTAAAAAGTACCTATCGTTGACAGTTCAGAAAAAGACAGACCTATCCACCTATGTCCTATACTTAAAACAGAAAGAGTAGTTGCATGGTTTTCTGATTGTAGGGTCAAAAAAAGTACTAGACTGGCAATTGGGTGCTTTTAGAACCCAAACCTGATCCTACCACTGATTTCTAGAAAGATCATTTATTGCTTTTGAACTTTAGGGGGAGGGTGACTCTTCAAAACCCAAAAGCTAAAAGGGATTTTATAGGATTATCTAATCTAACCTCTGTATTTTACAGCAAAAGCCATTGACATTAGGTCTTAGGTCACAGGGCTGATTAGAGGAACAGCCAATGTGGTGAGCTTCTCATTACATAATTGTAGTAGAGACCGTAGAAGCTTAATCTGAGAACTGGAGGTAATGCTTGTGATAATGCGGCATAAAAGTAGAATCTAAATGTAAAACGTTTGAAGATGAAAATATGGGACAGGGATAGAAGACAGGATCTTTTGCAATGTGTGACTGGACAAGAAAATCACCAATAAATGTCCAAATTGTTCTTTATAATTTACAGATAACTTACAGATAAGGACAAAGATCTTAAAAAAACGAATCTGAACTCTGTTGCTGCCACACATTTGTGTCAGAATATAAGTGATTAGGACGTTCCTACTGCCAGATGGCGTAAGAACATGGTGGAATGTGGACTCTAATCACAGATTGCCATCCAAAACTGGCTTCCCATAGATAGTTGAGTGGCTTATGTAAACTGCCCGGGGTCAAGCCATTCTACTTTTCTTCTTTCTGTTTCCCTCTAGATAAACTGGAAGGTAGTAATTGATACCTTATGGGTTCGTTCATTCTTCAGAACCTGTGAAATTCTTAGAACCATGTCTAACTCGTAGAGAATACACAAGGTATGCTACCTGTCACTATTGTTAATGGGCTTTCTCTCTCGGGAGGATTAAAAGCCACCCTTCTGGATGGGAGCAATCACGCTGGGTATCCTGTCTGCTATGTAGAGGTAAGTTTGGTGAAGTTTGGTGGGGAATGAGGGAGACAGCTTGGCTTCCGTGTATCTTGGACAAAAGTCACTGCTGGTCTCACTGACCAGAAGACAGGCCAGGGAAAGGAGGTCATGGCTGGGCCACAACTGGAAGTTGAGTCACTCATGGGGTCAAGGTACAGACAGCAGCCGGGTGCACAGCAGCAGGCCAGGCAGGCTCTCCCCCAGGGAAGACTTCCGGGACGGACAAAGTTTCTGCACTTCCTCCTGGAAGAAGACGAGTGGGGCTGGGAAGGGCAGGGAACTCCCGTGCCTCTCCCCGTCCAGGGCGACAACTTGCTGGGCGGCCTGGCCCCGCGCTGCCCGCGGCCTCCAAGGACACCCACTCCCCGCGGCGCGGGGGGGAACCCGGGGTCGGGGCGTCGGCGGGGCCCGCGCGGCCTCCGTCGGGGTCAGCCGGGGGCTCCATTCAGGAATCGGCCCGAAAACTTTGGGTCGGAGATTAGTGAGGTCCCGGCAGCCAGGACAAAGGGAAGCGAGAGGGGGGACGCGGCCTACCGTCCAAACATCACCCCCCCCCCACCGGTCCCACCCTAGCGAACCCTCGCTGGGAGGCTCACCCGCCAGCCCGACCCTGACGGGGCGTGGCCTATGCGGGCCGCCATCTTGCTTGCCTCTCTAGGCGCCTTGTTTACCACTCTATGGTCTCCTCGCTCCCGCCCCGCCCCTCCCCAGTCATTGTCTGGAGGAGCAGCCGCGGCCGCAGCGCCTTCTCTTTATAAACCCGCAGTGCCCGGATGTGAATGGATTACAATGTATCTTTCAGGGGAACCTATTATTATCAATGTGACTCCGCGGGGGAGTCAGTGGTGAGGAGGAGGAGGAGGAGGAGGAGGAGGATGGTGAGACACCTCTAAACTTGGAACAAGTTTAAGACTTTATAAGAGGAGAAGAGGAAAAAAAACACAAACCAGCCAACACGATTTGTTTGAGGAACAGTGCTAACTAGGCTGTCGTTCCTATGCTTTCTTGATAAACAATAAGAAAAAGTTGTTGGATTTTTCTCAGATGGTTTCTTTTTGGGGGGTGGCGGTGGAGGGAATTTTGTTACAGTTTGAGGGTGGGAAATGCAAACAAAAACACCCACCCCGAGCCAGGTGCACGGTCTTGGAATCTGAGGATCCCGAGGAGCAGCACTGAGCACCACTCACAGTACTTTTTCGGGGACACCCATGTGCGATACTAAGTCCTCGCAGAAGATTGGTGTCTTGTTTCCAAAGTCTCTTTCCTTGGACTATTGTGAGCATATTTGTGGCCACTTAAGGTAACGTTACCGTTTGCTGTCAAGAGTAAACTGCTGGTTAACTGGATTTTTACAGATGTCGATCCTAAGGCTTTGCTCAGACAAAAGGAGCCACTCTTCACTAGTTGTCCATGGGGAGACGAGGGTGTGCATGCGTTTCGTGCGAGTGGCTCGCACATCCAGGGGCTGTGGACTTGCGGCGGTTGTTTATTTGAGACACCCGTCCCGGCAGCGTGTGCTGGCGAGGGGGGGGGGTGCGCGTGTTCCGGTGATTCGTGAGAATCCCGGAGCTGTGTGTGGCCGGGGAGCAGCCGGGGCCTGCGAGGGTCCGTGTTGGAACCGGACACTTGTGCGGCTGGCGGACGCGGACTTGCAGAAGCGTGGAGGAACTCAAGTGTACAAAGCAAAACAACACTCACCCCCCTGCATCGCCCTCGCTTATGTAAACTAAGTTTGCAGCGTTCTGACTCTTTTGACTTTCCAAGGTGGAGGGAGAGACAGATGCAGAATTCCGTCCCCCCCCCCCCCCCCCCCCCGCACAGACGAACCCCAAACGCTCGGGATCTCCCAAGCAAAAGGTGGCTCGGTTTCTGTACGGTAAAGACAAACAGTCTTCCTCTTGGCAAAAGTGTTTTTGCCTCACGTGTACACTGCAGCCTGGTATCAACTTGCGTGGCCGTGTGTGTGTGCGCGCGTGTGGATGGGTGTGAGCTGGGGAGGGACGGAGAGTGGAAGAAGTGCAGAAGGGGTGGAAACTCGAATCCGTTTCAAAGTGGATGAAACGGGCAAAAAATTTTTTAAAAAAGGGGAGAACCCCCCCACTCCAACCAACCTCCCCCCACTCCCCCCCCCCCCCCGACCCCCACCCCAGAGCCGTCCGGGCTTCCAGAACGTCCCCGGGACCGACCTGGGGCAGGATGAAGGTGCCCGGTGCCTCGGCGTGTGTAAAAACAAACCACAAACGATTCCGGGGCGCGGCGGCGGGGGAGGTGTTGATTTTCTTTGGGGGGGGGGGTGTGCGTGCGTGTGTGTGCGTGTGTGCTGGCAGAGGCTGGGAGGGGGATGCGGGGTGCGGCGGGGGGGGGGGGGAGGCGGGAAAGGAGAGCCGAGCCCCCCGACCCTCCCCCCCGCGGCCCGACCCCGGAGCGCCCGCGTCTCCCCGCCGCGCCCCCCCACCCATTTCTTTGCTGAACTTGCAATTCCGCGCGCGCGGCGCCCCCTCCCCCTCCCGTCCCCTCCCCTCCCCGGAGAAGAGAGTTGGTGTTAAGAGTCAGGGATCTTGGCTGCGCGTCTGCGGATCTGTAGTGGCGGCGGCGGCGGCGGCGGCGGCGGGGAAGCCGGAGCGGGCGCGGGGCCGGCGGCGGCGGCGGTGGCGGCGGCGGAAGGCAGGCGGGCCAGGCAGAGCGGGGTTAGACATGAACGCCGCCTGGGCGCCGGCGGTGCACCGGGAGCCCCTTCTCGAGCGCGGGCGGTAGGTACCGGCCCGGCGGCGGGGGTGGTGGGGGGGAGAGGCTCTGGCGGGGCTGCGGGCCCGGCGTGGGGGGGTCGGGCTCCCGGGGGCTGCCGGCGGCTCCCCGCACGCGCCTCCCCGCGCCTCCGCACCGCGCCGCGCCGCCGCGCGGGCTCCGGGCTCGGGCGCTCCCCCAGCGCGAGCGAGCGAGCGAGCGGCGGAGACAGACACCCCTGCCCCTCCCGCGCCTCCTCCCGCCCCCGGCGCGGCCCCCCGCCCCCTCCCCAGCCGGGCCCGCGCCGCCCGGGGGACGCGGGGACTTTGCCCGGGGGCCTGACTTTCCTGGAGTTGTGTGCGTCGTGCCGCCCTTCCCGTCGCAAATTGCGGGGTGCTGGACGACCCCGGGACCCGACCCCCGCCCCCCCGCCCCCCCGCCGGCGGCCGGCCACCCCTCCCCCCGTGGATGCGGTCGCACTCCGAGACGCTCATCTTCCGTGTCTTGAGCGCTACTTCGGGGGGTCGAGGGGAGTGGGGTGTGTGAGTGTGAGCGAGTGTGCACGTGTGTGTGTGCGAGGAGCGTGTCTGGGCCGGGGTGCGGGCTGGGGGAGAAAGTTGCGACCGGAGCGTTCCCGGTAGTTTGCCTCTCTCCTCGGCGATCCATTCATTGCTCGCTCTACCTCCTGTTGCATAAAACGAGGCGCCGAGCCGCGGCTCCCCTCCCCCGCCCCGCCCCCGCCCCCCGTTCGCGGTGGCCCGGGCCCTGGCCACTGGCAGCCTCGCTCTCTCTAGAAAGACAATATCGCATCTTCTTAATATTATTTTTCTTTCCCTTTTTTTTTTTGCTCTTGCTGCCTGTTCTGTCGTCCACACAAAACAGAACCCAACAACAACTCTCTCCCATCCCTCTCTCCTTTCTACCTTAATCCCCCCCCCACATCCACCCCTCCCCCTCCCAACCCTCCCCCCCCCCCCAGTCTCCAAAAATCCGATTGTGTGTTCTCCTAGGATTGGGACTGGATTTTCTGATTGCGGTTATTTCCATGTTTCTAGGTTTGTGTGATTTCTCTAAAATGCATCATCAACAGCGAATGGCTGCCTTAGGGACGGACAAAGAGCTGAGTGATTTACTGGATTTCAGTGCGGTAAGAGAGAACGGTGGAAACTAACAACAGCTGTGGAAAGGAAAAAAAAGCCCAGAAAACAAAAACCCAGACACTTCCACTAGAAACCCATAGGAACCTAATGGACAGGAATAATTTTTAATTGGCTGAATACGAAGGTGTTTTGGACAAGTTTTTCAGTCATTTTGGAGTGTGACTGAAGATGCAGACTTTTTTTTTTTTTTCAGTCTAAAGACCTTCCTTAGCTACCCATTTCCTCCAAATAATAGAATCTCACGAGACACCCCCTAAAACTGTAAAACCATCCCCCAGACTTGGCCATATCTGAGCCCTGAGTCTTCTGATATTTCATGGGCACTTCCCGTCTTTCTTACTTGTTTTTCTGGACATGGAAAATAGGAGACCCAGTTATATCTTGAGAGTTTAAAAATGATGATGCTGTGGTTTATTTATTAGTAGGACCTGTACCTCTAGCCACCTCTTTTCTTGTTTTTCTGGGACTCTGAAAACTCCTCTGTATATGCTGAGCATACGTTCTTTAGAACCCTTTGGACTATTTTTGTAATATTTCATAGTCCTGAGGTCAGCACAGAGAGGAACTTACACACTTGTGGAGTTTTATGACTGTACTTGATCCTTTTCCATCCTCCCTGCTTACCGTTCCTAAACCAAGTTCCACACGTCAGGGCATTGAATTCTTTTTTAATGTCAGATGAGTTTTGGTGTAAAGCAAAAATGCGTTTGGAAAGCAAAATAAAAAGAATCCACATCCACAAAACACCGATAAAATCCAAACTGCCTTCTCAGTGGGGCTCTTTCATGCTGCTGCTGCTGCTGCTGCTGCTGCTGCCGCCGCCGCCGCTGCTCCTTGCCACCGCTGCTCCTCTTCTAAACCTTGTGGAGAAATGGCTCTGGGAAGTTTTGTCAGGAAGCAGAGCTGTAGGCAGCTTTGCAGTCCCCTTTCTGCTTGCTTTCTCCTCCATTCATTCCTTTGCTTTTTGCAGGCTCTGTCTCAGGAAAGGTGTGCATTATCCATTAGATACGTGGAAAGAGGGAAACCAATTAGGGTTGAAATAAATGCTGGAGAGAGAGAGAGAGGGAGTGAAAGAGAGTGAGAGTGAGAGAGACAGAGTGAGAGGACAGAGAGGGGGGAGAGAGAGACTTGCCTCAAATTGCTCTCATGTGAGAGACGAAATGAGAATTTAGTGCAGGTGGCACTTTTATTTTTATTTGGGTTCACACATGACAGGCAGATCCTATACGAGAAGGAAATGGACATTGCCACGTTTATGGCCAAGGTTTTTAGTACAAAACAAACAACTTTTTCTTCTCTTGTCAAACTGGTGTTTTCTAGGAAGGCTGCTGCCCTAAATGTTGCTAATGTTATTGGGGCTGGGTTTGCTGAGTATGTAGTAGGACTATTTGGTTCTCTCTAAGTTACCCGAGAAGAAAAAAAGGAACTGTGGGCATGGGGAGAGGGTTTAAAGTGGTTGGTTTAGTTTTCAGTTGGATAGCAGTGTATTTTTTTTTTTTTTTTAACCATATAGTATTTAGCATGAGCTCAGAGGTGTTTGGTAAGAGTGTGAAAGATCTTTGGTGAACTCTGAAGTCATCAATGTCTTTTCAACTGTGATCTTCCTTCCTTTCTTTTAGATGTTCTCACCTCCTGTGAGCAGTGGGAAAAATGGACCAACTTCTTTGGCGAGTGGACATTTTACTGGCTCAAGTATGTAAATTCTCTTTTCTTTTTTCCTGTGAAGCTCAATGTTCTTAGCTGTATATTCATTATATATTTTTAATTCTGTTGAAGTGGTTGGAAAAAGTCATTGAATTTTAGCCTCTAATGATATGGTTTCTTATTATCTATCAGTAGTGTAAGTTATACAACATGTTACCTTTTGCAGTTATAATTAAGACCTTTTTCTAAATCAAGGAAACTGTCTCAAAATTCCATCACTTAATTTAAAAGTGATTTTCTGAAATAGTTGTAATCAACCATCTGAATATAAGGCCACTGCTAGCATGGGAATTATAAATTAATATTTCTTATTGAAAATACAGAAGGGAAAAAAATCTAACTTTCATAGAAAGGGGAAATCCCTTGTAAATAAAGTAAGTTACTATGTACTGTGTACAATTAACCTTTTTAAAGAAATGAGCACTTATTTTGCAGATGATCCCCCATTGTAAACTATGGCTGGAAATAGCCTCATGCTAATCTGAGAGGCAAAATATGAATTCATTTATATTTTCAATAGCATTTTTCATTCCTTAGCTGTTTCTTTTTTCCCCCTCATCATTTCTTTGTGTAGTGAATTTTGTGCTATATTTAAACTTGTAAATTTGGAAGGACTTCAGCAGTTTCTAAATGAAAGATCTCTGGGTGATGCTTAAAAAAAAACAACAAAACAAACCGACAGCGGTATTCACAAAGGAATCTGCACAGTGATTATCTGGCATCTAAGGAAAATTTTTAGTACAGGACTGCTTATCTGTTAAAAGTGGAGACTGAAAAAATGATATTCATTTATAATGTATTTTTTTTGTCCAATGTATTTTAAATAAGGAGTCATACGTTGTTGCTTTCTCTCCTTGAAGTCCAAGCTTGAAATCCACTTATGCCTGTTAAACAGCTGCAGGATTTTAGGAGTCTGGCAATGGTATAGAACTGTGCATTAACTAGAATACCATTCTTAAGTCAGACTGGTAAATGTTGACATCTTCTAGCTGTGCGATGCCAGTAGAATCGTCTTGTCAACCAGGAATATAATTTTACATCTTTTAGTTTTTATCTGGTGCTGTTGCAATGGAAGAAATCTGTTTACCTGTGTGATTTATACAATTGATATATTTTTATAAAAGTGATAGCTTTGAAAACGTGCTCATTTCGGAATTAATTACTTCTACTCCCTTCATCCCATAAGTTTTGAGAATTTTTGTGTCTTTAGTTTGATATAGAAATTATGAGATACCACCTGTGTTCTAACATTTCTTAATGGTAAAGTTTGAGTAATAATATTGTTGCCAATGTGTTTGCTCTATTGCTCTGGACTCTTACAGTTTCCATGTAGGGGCTTAATTTTTCTTTTTTGGGGGAGCATTAGTATTCTGTACCCTAAATTTCTAGAGGGTATTTTTCTTGCAATTGTTCAGACAAAAGCTTTATTATTAATAATTAAAGTAAAGATAGAAATAAGTGTTTCTTGTAGAGAAATTAGTTTTTCCTGCTAGTATCAAAACACTAACTTTGTCTCTGGTAGTAAATTCCTTCATGTTTTACTTAAGCAATGTGTGTGTGTGTGGATTATGTGTGAAAGGCTGACATAAATGCAATATTTAAGTCACTGGGAGATACTAGTTTCCACTACTGTAAAAATAGGCATGTTTGGAATAAGTTACATGTATTACTTTACATGCAATTTAATAAATTAAAGTGAATTAGAAATATGAAATACATTAAAAAGACAGCTGTAGGTATGGCTCCGTTTCTATGCTCACATTCAGATAAACCCCCTACTCTAATGTTTAAGTGTATGTAGAGAGCATAGGGTGGGATAAATTTAGTAGATATTAATGCATTTTGGTAGGTGATCATATATCCAAACTTTTAGATTTCTTAAGGCAATGGAATATATATGTTTATGAATTCATGAAGACAGAATCTTCTTTCTAAGTGAGTTGTGTGTGATGATATTTCTAATGAATATGCACTGATTGTTTTCAGGGTGTGGAACTTAAGGTTTCATTGTACCTGTAGTGTGGTTTTTCTGGACAGATGTTTACTTGTAAGGGTAGTATGGTGGCTCCTTTATTCTGCCTGCCTGATTGTATATGTGGGCCATTCATTCAGTGCAGTAGGACTGTGACTAGAATGTATAGAATGCAGATTAGGGTGTTATTTGCCCCACCTATTAAGACATATTGGAACACAGGGCTATTAGTGAAAAGAATGGTTTCTATTTCTACTCAATAAAAGGCATAAATCTCTTAAAGCACAAGCACAACTTTTTTTTTAAACTTATGAAAACTGCACTTTTTAAACTGGAAGGGTGAACAAGGAAACTTGGGCTAGAGAAATTATTTTCTAAAGTTACTTCAAGTTAATACCTGCTGTCCTGAGTGGACTCAGATGTCACTTTCATGGGTCACTTTGAAACTTGGATCCAGGGGAAAAAAGATCTGACTAGAAGTACAGTATTGCATTTGAAAAAAAATCACATACGCAGACACAGACACACAGACAGACACAGACACACACACACACACACACACACACACACACACACACACACACACACACACACACACACACATTTCTATATTGTTTCCAACCTAGGCCTGGTACTATTTCATGCTGAAAGTTTCCAATCACTTTTGATTTCATTAATACATGATGCTTCATCATGATTTGCCATGTGAGAATGATAATAAAGTGTGGCCACATTCTCTTTAATCTTGCATTTCACAAACATGGCTTTCTCTACCACCTTAAGAAATAGTAAGGCTGCTGGGGAGAATGGAATGTAACCTGAGCTCCAGCCTGACATTCCCAGCAGCATTTTTCACATGAAAGGCTTTTGTCAACCCAGGATAGGACCAGCAGTTTTTGTTTGATGTTTGCAGGTGTTCAGCGGAAAGCAGTAAAACAATTCAGCCATGATGGTCCAGGGCTCCCATGACCTATAACAGGGAGAATGGTGGGCTCTGGAATTATTTTTGAGAAACAGTTATAACCTGCATGGCGATGTCTACAGAGGGATTTGATATCTGCTGTATCATTGATCTTAAACGCAAACCATCCACATGCCAGGATGATTGGCAAATGGTTCTCATTAAAAATTAGGATGACAGAGTTACCAGAAGAAGACAAAAATAAGTTCCTGAGTCCTCTTTAATTTTTATAATGAAGAGGTTTACTTTTCTAATGTAATAAGTGTATAGTTTATTTGGTTATGTCTGAGTGTTTTGTGAGCAGAAGATAAATCCACTACTGTTGGTGAATTTTTAAAAAGTAGTTTAAAAGTTGGGCAACTGAACTTCCATGTACATATATATGTAATATATATATATACGCATATTATATGTGTGTGTGTGTGTGTGTGTGTGTGTGTGTGTAGATCAGCTCTGGGCACATCTGTTGCCCCTGTTTTCAACTAGTGTGTGATGGATGGGTGCTGTGACTCCCTTCCTTACTTTTAAAGTTGATCTTTTTTTCCCAGTAGCTGTTTAGTTTTACTTAGGTGTTCAGTGGTTGTTAAAGATGATTGCCTAACACATGGGTGTTGGACCAATTAAGAGCAGCTGTAAAACACATCACATCTCTCTTAGGTCAGTTTTGGAAGAGGGCAAATGTTTCTTAGCTTTCCTGTAAGTTAGCTACTTTATCTGCACTTGACACAAAAATGACAGGTTATTGGAGTCAGTACATTGCTAGACAAATGTGAATCTAATGGATAGTTTTGTGTGAAGAGAAAAGTTCAAGGATCAAGGTCCCACATTAATTTGCATTTGTTTCAGTTATGGTGATGGTGTTAAAACATGGAATTGACTTGAAGGGGAGGGTACTTACTATCTCCCCCCCCCCCCCACCTTTTTGCCTGTCTGTCTGTCTGCCTGTCTCTCATTCTTGCTCTGTGTGTTTACTGCTACTTACGACACCCCTTCTTTCTCTCCCCTTCTCTCAATGTGTATATTTTAAAACAGTTCCTATTGTAGTACAATTCATAATGGTTGTGTAACTCTTGTAAAGTGTAGAGCAACTTAATAGATTTTTTTTTTTTTTAAAGCAAAGGGACATCAAACTCCTATGTTGGAATCCTTGTATTTTGGGAAAAGAAACCCTTTGGAAACACATTGTCCTGAGCATCCAGGGCTAAAGAACAGGCTAAGGAGCTTCTAAACTGTGCCTGTGTTGTTTGTTCTGGAAAGCAGTTTTGATTTGCTAATTCTCTGTGGCCATGCAAACCTTTTCTTGGAATAACTGTTGGTCTCACCAGTTGCATTCCTGTCACTTGTGGTGTTTAATAAAGTGTTAGATTTTATGGGCTGATAGTTGTGCCTGTTAGTGCCACTGGGTGTAGACGCACCCTCTGAATGCTTTTCTCTGGTTTGGAGCTGAATTTGGGATTATTGGTTATTCTCTTTTGGCTTCTCTCTTATACCTGTTTGTAAGGTGTTGTGTAGGTGAACATGGCACTGACGGAATGGAAATGAAGAGCTTCTGACTGTGCCAGGTGGTCTCCTCTACTCTGTGGATTTGTTATGTTTCAGCCCCCTAAGGAATCCAGTTAAGAGGCAAAGGTTACCAAACCCAATTCACAGATGAGGAAACTGACAGATTTGTAACTTGCACATAGTAATAAAAACAGGTTTCAACTAAGTTTTGCCCAAAGTCCCTCCCTCCCAAGAGTCAGAAGCCATGTACGTTATTTTTCCCACCTCAGTTTCCAAATATGCTGCTTTTCTAAATTGTAGTGGATTTCAATATGGCCTTAGTATATTTTATTGTATACTAGCATTAGTTTTACAAAGAAAATAGAGTTTGTATTTTAAAACTCATTGCCATTTCATTCTGTTGAAAATGGATGATCTACATGGGTGCTAGTGAAGATATTTTATTTTCAGATTTTTTTTTTTCAGTGGTAGTGAAGTTTGAACTCAGGGCCTTGTGTGTGCCTGGAAGGTACTCTTAACTTAAGCCATGTCCCCAGAACCCCAATTATTTTC